CTGCAGAGGTGGGGATGGTTGGAGTCCTGGGGAGAAGACGCGTCTGAGCAGAGGCATCTAAGGGGTAAGCAGGAGTTGGGCAAGGGAGATGGGAGTGAGAGTGTTCTCAGCAGAAGGCACAGTATTTGCAAAGCACAGATGGGAGCAACAGCAGGATATGGAGCATGCCAGGAACGACCCGAAGCTTGGTGGTATAGAAATTTAAACAGGAGGGTAAGAAATGGGGCAAAATGAGCTAGAGCAATAGAATGGAAGCAGACAGCAAAGGAATTCCATACAGAAGGCCTCGAGCCTCACCCTACGGTGCTGGAGAACTCTGGCAGATGTCCATCATCGGAATGACTGTGAGGACAAGCAGCTTGGCAGGAGCCTGGAGTCAAGGAGACCAGGAAGAGCACCTCTGATGCAGAGAGAAGATGCTGCTGCAAGGTCAGAGTGGGACACGTCAGGAGCTGAGCAGCCCTGGGGACTGCCTGGATATGGGTGGCAAAGGGGGAAGAAAAGAGCCATGGATGAAGGACTATACGTTCTTCTTGCGGGTAGAGGAGAATCAGTTAGTATCTTCTTCTTTCTCCAGTAAAAGATGATGAATTTGACTCTGACATGAGTTTGGCATGTATATGGGTTGAAATGTCAGTGTAAAAAACTCACAGATAGGAGTAATCTAGGTTAGCAATAACGACTCCAGAGTCCACAGCCATACAATGGTGCCAGCTGGAGACGCAGGATCTACTGCGATGGCAAGAAAGGCAGTGGGCAGAGGAAGGACCCCTGGAGAACACCAACACTTAACAGGAAAACAGAACAATGAGGCTGTTACAAAGACCGAGGAAAAAGTCAAAGAGCTAGAGAACCAGAGCGCGCAGCAACCAAGGGCATAGAGTTTCAAGAAGCCACGAGTGACTGACCACTACTGCCAAATGCAGTAGGGAAAGGCCCGCTAAGCTGAGGGATGAAAAGCGAACACGCCATTTAGCTAGGAGGTCATCAGTAAGCACCCCGGTTCAACTTCTGGGTTGTAGACAACTGAATCCACTCAAGTTGTTTTAAGCAGAAAGGCATTTATTAGAGGGTCTCCGTGTATACACAATTTCCAGGGGGCCATAGACACATGTTTGGGTGTCTTTCCACCAGGAGCAGCAACGGCAGCCAGGACAAACACACACCCTCACCACAGGACGGTGATGGGGGAAACCCACTCTGCCACCACTTCACACGGCTCCGTGCCTGTGACCGGCGTCTAGCACCTTCACCACAGATGCACCCCATGAAGAAGTGCTTCAACCACTGTGCCTACCAGAGCCACCCCTTCCGAGAGCAGCTTCATTCTGAGATGAACTCGCTCCACGTCACCTAACTGAACGCTCACCTTCAGGCTTCCAAAAGCTCCCTGTCCCGTCATCTACATCATCCGCAAAGGATACTTCCGTGCAACATAAAATGAAGATGGAGTCCAAAAAAGCAAGAATAATCTTTATTCCTTGGAAACACATTTGTAAAAACGTATCAGTAAGATTAAAGGATTCGGAACACATTTATTTGTAGGCAGTACAAACACTGAGGATCAAAACATCTGCTAAGACAGAACACACCTGTGAACAGGTATCTTTGGAAGAGTCTGTAGGTGACTGGCTGTACTGTGCAGGGCGCGTAGCTGAGTCCCTCCCTCTGTACACATTTTTTGTGGTAACCAAGAATAGACCCAGTTTTTAGCAATAAGGTATCTCAGAGATGTCAATACACTTTTAAAAAAGGCTTAAAATGGGCCAAATTACAATGACACATATGGAAATGGCGTTTAAGAATCGCTTTCACAAAAATACTGGTGGGAAAGATCTCAGGTCTATTAAGAGGAAAAAAAAAATGTTTGACTTTGTGGCTTAAAAAGGGGGGCAATAAATATTTCGGTACAAGTTCTTCCCGCAAAGAAAACACATTGATCGGCTGGATCTACAAAGTGACAGCGCGACATCCCTATCCTTTGACAGGACGTTTTGGCACAATGCCATTAAAATCCTATATACTCAAATTTGAGCATAAATAGATCTTGGATTGCATGTTGCTTTTTAAAAGAGGGAAGTCCAGGGTAAAAACCGAGCCTCAAGTTCTATAAATTCTGACAGTGTGTATTCATAATTACGTCTTCTGAAATCACACAAGCTAGCAGCACCAATCAATAATTTAAAAAATTATTCTCGTACTGGAGCAGCAAAAGTTCTATCAAAACGGACGCTATGCAATTTGTGATTCGTAAAACTGCTAAGATTCAAAGTGGCTAACCTGCTTTAAATAGGAAATTCAGAGCCTCCCCGTATGCACGTCCCACCTAACCAGTAATACGCTTCATTCAGCGAAAGGGGTAAGCCTCTGTTAGAGAAGGGAATTCTGCAGTTTTCCTCTGAGAAATTCCATTGGAATGTCAGACCCTCAGACCGAAAATACTAACTTTGCATAGATCACAGAATTGCAGAGGAGCTTGGCGATCATTTAGTCCAACCCACTCTTTCCGGAGGGGGCAAAGGAGGCCAACAGAAGAGAAGGGCTTGTCTGCCCTCTCACAGTGGCCGGGGCTGGGCCCCAGCGGCCTCCTCGTCACCTCAGGACTGTGCGGTGTTCTCCACAGAGCTATCTTCCCATATTCTTCTGGTATTATTTGGTCCCGTTTGTTAAATAACAAAGAAATATGAAGTACATAGCAATATGATAAACACAGACTTTTACTCCAATTTTAAAATCAGAATATTAAAGTGATTCCTGAGCCTTTAACTACCTTCATTTTATTGAGAATGCAGTCAACAGTTGGGACTACTGTTAGGACTAGTGATTGTGGCTGTTTGCAAATATTTACATGGACGCCGGGAACATCTCTCAGAACATTTCCACAAAGACACTTGTGCAAACACATCTATGTAATGCCAAGACACTTTTCATGGGGTGTAAGGACACTATGATGGTGAAGGGAGGTGAGATGCTTCAGTCTCTCAAAGTGCAGTCATGAGTTTATCTCGATACACCATACTTTGCATTCCTCCTAAGTTCTTCTGGTTCTGGTCGTGGACATAATCGAAATGGCTGCCCCCTCCACTGGCCGATGATTCCCAGTGCGGCGGCCTGTCATCCTGAAAGCATGGCCTGTTTTGTTGGCAGAGTGAATGATTAGCAGGAGGGATGGAAGAAAATGCAGAAATGTGAGTGAAATAACACAAGCATGAGGGAGGTGGGGAGGAGAAACCATGAGCCGTGTTAATGGGGATGGCTTACGAATGGAAATGAATGGATTTTCTAAGGTATGTTTAAAATTCAGAATGCAGGTGACCTATCAACATCCCAGTCAAGAGAAGCCCGTTCCACGGCCGTACCATCATTTCTCAAAAGGCACCCTGATGAGCCAGTCAGTCTGGGGAAAGTTAGGTGACAAGGTGTCCTTGACCAGGCACCTCTCAGGGCTGTGAGCACATTGCTAAGGGGTGCTGTGAATGCCTTAGGCAGCGTTTGCCAAGAGTGCTGGGCCCAGGAACTCTCTTTTCCTGGGGTAGGTATCTCAGGCTTCTCTAACTCCTGAGAGCCTAATAAGACACGGTGTGCTGGGCCCTACCCCCTGACACTGATCCAGCAGGGTTGGGGTGGGGCAAAGAATGAGCATCAGCAAGCTCGCAGGGGAGGCCAATGCCACCCGGAGAGGACCCTGTCATGGCCTCCCACAGAATCCCCGCTGCCAACTGCTGGGCAAGGTCATGCCCCAGAAGGAAACGAATGTGGTAAAATAGGCACTAAAAAGTCTAAAATTCTCTAAAAATAAGGTTAATAAAAATAACATTTCTAGAAATCTCTTCTGTTTTCTTATGTCTGGAAAAGAAACTGCCTTTAGCAATACAGAAACGTTTAGAGTTATTACTCCACCGGGCTGACTAGATTTAAAAAGTTACCCGAGTATCGAGTATTGTCCATAACACTGCCCTGTGGTCCTCCTCCAAGGTCTCCCAACCAAAGTGGCAAGAACCATCAAGAACTAATTGCTCTCCTTTGCCTCGCTCCACATGATTTTCATCCCTCCATTCTCTCCATACCTTCTCGAGCAGCGAGGCTAGCAACCTCACCAAGCAGTAACTTTATGCAAACTGAATTCACCAACGGAAAGAGCTTCACACATAAACACCAATTAAGACTGATCTAAAATTCAAATCTGAAAAGGAACGTTTGCCTTTACAAAGCTGGCATCAAAACACTCTCCAGCCTAATGAAAAACCCAGCAAGGCAGGTGCCAGTTTCCTTGGAAAGGATTGTGATGTAGGTTAGGGCAGAGGTGAGCAAACAGCCCACAGGCTAGATCCCACTCGCCGCCCATTTTCGTAAATAAGTTTTATCGGAATGCAGCCATGCCCATTCACTTCTGGGTTGTCTCTGGCTGCTTTCGAGCTGCAAGGCAGAGGTGAGTAGTTGTGACAGAGACAACAAAGCTGAAAATACTGGTTATCTGGCTCAGAACAAAGTTTGCTGACCCTTGGGTTTAGAAAAAAGATCTGTCACAAAACCAAAACAAAAACACCCAAACAACCCTTCCACCTACCCCACCCCTGAAAAATACTCCCTTCAAAAAACCCTCAACAAAAATCCCCAAGCTTGACTCACATTTTTAGTAGTGGAATTCTTGGGACAGGAAAATGTTACTTAGAAATTTTAAGTAACATTTCTAACACAAAACCAAACCAAAAATATCTGAGGTTAGAATGCCTAAAAAAAAAAAAAAAAAAAAAAAAAAACCAAAAACCACCAAAAAAACAAAACCTGATTCATTTTTATTTCAAAAAGCATAACTTTGGTAAATCCACACGCATTACTGGCTCCCTTTGCTTGGCAAATTATTAATCTGTCTTGACACGGCAGCTCTTAACAGCTGTTTCTGACGCAGACTTTCGACTCATAAGTAGGGAGAATGCGAGTTTTTTGAGACAAAGGGAGAACTTTTGAGAAAGCACAGCTCTGTGAGCTCAAGCACTTACCTTACATTTGGAGAGTGAGGGTGCCACCGAGGCTGGCCGGGGTGGATAGTGGGATGGTACTGAGGCTAGAAATGAAATACCAAACTCGATTATTCGATGACCTTTTGATTTCAATGGCCTTCATTTACTTTCTCGTTTACTGGCATCCAGCTGAGGGGCCCAGGGCTGTGAATGGAAAGGCTCAGGAAACCCTGGCTAGGAGGTGGCTTCCCAGGATGATCACATTTCCCCTGAAACAAAGGTTGGGGGGCTGAGGAAGGCATCTGCCCGGAAAGGGTTCCTTAGAGTGCCGGCACTATCCATGTCCCTCAAGGGAACAGATGGAAGACACCCAAGATGCGGGGAGAATGGTAAGTGCAGCGACAATTTCTGTCATTGCCGAGAATGACAACAACCATGCGTAACAGTGACATCTGCAAACGCAAGAGAACTGGACGGGGACACCAAGGCAACAGGACTACGGCCGGTCACTTTCTGCCTTGTGTAAGCAGCAAGAATAACTTTTTATTTATTTTTTTTAAAAGACTTTTATCTATTTACCCGACAGAGAGATCACAAGCAGGCAGAGAGGCAGGCAGAGAGAGAGAACGGGCAGCAGGCTCCCCGCCGAGCAGAGAGCCTGATGCAGGACCCCGGGATCCTGACCCAAGCCGAAGGCAGAGGCTTACCCCACTGAGCCACCCAGATGCCCAAGAATAGGTTTTTAAAATATGATCCAAAACCCAGTATCAAATCTCACCCCTCACCCTGTCACCACAGCAAACTCCAAACCACCCAAAGCACTTATTATCCTGATAAAATGGAAGGAAGGGAGGGAGGGAGGGAGGGAAGAATTCATCCACTGTAAGATGGGAAAATAGATCCAGACTGGTGACTTACAAAAGGACAGAGGTGAAGACAAGGCGGCCTGGCTGGGCAGCAGGGCAGTCTGTCCACCTCCAGCCTGTAGAAGGCGGCGGCCCCACGCACGGCCAGAAGCCATGGGGACTTCTCAAGGCTAGACTTTCCGTGGGGCACGTTAGAGCCTCCTGACTTTTAAGTTGCTGTTGTCTTGCCACCATTATTCTTCTAATTATTTCCTCCCTTCTTCTCCTTCCCCTGCTGTTTTGGTTAATAAGCACAAATCTGTTTTGTACTGTGGAAAGTTCTCAGTAATTCTGTTCATTCTGGTTTCAGAAACCAAAGATGCCCTCCCTCCCTGCCTAATTCTGCCTTCTAGTGGCCTTTCTCCTTCCAAGGCACTGGTCAACAAGTGAAGGGGGCAGCCCCCAAAAGGACATGCTAGAGGAAAAAGGACGTGGAGAAAAGATCTCAGGAGCCGTATCTGAGAGCAGCCCTCTCTCGGGAAACAGAGACTTGAGAGTTCAGATGGCCTGCCCAAAGCTGGAAGGCTTTGAGTGTTTTGATCACACGGCCAGGCCCCAAAGGAGGTTCCACCAGTTGGGTCTTCAACAGAAGGGGAAAATCTCGAAAAGAAACGGACCTCGCATTCTAGCGCTTGTCTTCAAACAAAGTCACAGCAGACTCAGAGCCAGGTGGGTACTTCAGCCATAAAGACCTGGAAGGATATTCCCAAACCTTCCTTTGTCTCCTTTGGTAATTTATTCACACTCTAAAGCTGTCAAGGAGCATTTTTTAATGTTAATCCAGATGGCTCCCGCCAGGGCAGTTCTGTCCCCCTGGGGACAATTGGAAATATATATGTGCACCTCTGCTTGTCACGATGACGACAGGATTACCTTCAGCTAACTGGGAGAAAGAGGGAAGCTAAACATCCTGTAAGTCTCGGGACAGTCCCACAATGAAGAACGGTCCCTCCTGAAACGCCAACAGTGTCTTTATCAAAACCGCAGCAATCCATCCTTCGTGGCAGCTGGCTGAGCTCACAGGAAGAGGGATGCTGCAAGCACATCGTCCTGAAAACCTTCCTCAGCACTCAGACGCTGACCGACCAGCCCGCTTCTCAGGACGTTCTCTTCCTGGTCATTTCACTCCCAGACCTTGATAGAGCAACACAGAACCTCTGAGACTGGCGAGGGGGTAGAGGACCAGGGGTTGCCACAGATGTGAGAACGTCTAGGTAACAGTTTTTGCGCCTGGAGTTCAATGAACAACTGTTTCCAAGTTCACTCTGGGCAGGCAAGGCTTTGCTTTGTTTTCATTTTATTTGGTGCCTTCAAGCCGAGACCACCCATCCACAACTCTTCCCTTCCCCCACAGCCAGCCCCTCGCACCTGAAAATCCCTCCGGACCAAAAAGCCAACCTGTGACTGAGAAGACAAGGGCCTAAAGAAGGCAACGAGATCGGGAAATCTGGCTGTTCCCCTACCAGGTTCAAAGCACTTTCTACATGTTATTCCCCAAAGTCAGAAGTCATGTCCAAGTTCTGCATGTCGGGAAGATGATTTCACAGAAGATCATCGCAGAAGATGATATCACAAAATTCTTCTGAAACGTACTTTGGAGACCTTGTCAAGATCACATACATTGGGATCCCACCCCCTTTTAAGGAATTAATATCTATAGTAACAAAAGATCAAGAAAGATGCTAACTAGATAATGTTCCCAGGTGAACCCCTGATGGAGTAGCTTCTCACTCATGACATTCAAAACCAGACTGGTCACCAGAGAGTAAGTGCCCTTGGACAGAAACCACCCAGCACAAGAAAAATGGCTCCAAACGAGGTGGTCATGGGATGCAGATGCTGACCCTAGCATGAACCTAGTGAGGGAGGAGAGGGGAGGAAGCAAATGTAGAAAAGCAGGTTGAAGCCAGGTTTAGAAAGCCATGTATAGCCAGCAAGAGCCACCCCCAGGCACGGGTGGGTGGGCAGGCAGGGGTGTGGGGGCCCTGCTTGGCTACCCGGTAGAAGAGCAGAACCACTAGCCAGGGAAACCTCTCTGTACTCCTTCTGCAGGCTCAACAGGCCTGCCACACTGCTCTACAAAGAAGATTCTAGAAACCAATGCTCCACTGATGTTAACAGACACACTGTTCAAAAAACAGGTAGGCAGGGAAGTAAGAGGCAATTTTTTTTTAAATGGGGGAGGGGTTGTTCAATAGTCAAATGATTTGGGGAAAACAATAGCTTAAAAAAAAAAATGTCTTTTTTTGCAGGATTTCTCCATACCTTTGACACCCAAATGGGCCCTGTAAGATCCAAGAAGGGGAATGAAGGACATACCATCTCCCAAACATGTCACTAAGACATCCTTTCCCAGACGCACATCTCAAGGGACTCATGTTCTCGAGGCCGAGAACACACTGACAAAACACGGCCTCGCCTGAGTGCCCCTAAGAGGTTGTATCTGACCACCCAGAAACTTGAACATATGCCCCTGCTGTTCGCTAGCTGAAAATGTTAAGAAAAAAGAGGGCCGGCTGAAATGACCAAGAGGGACCAGGGGTCATGGAAGAAGGATCTCTTCTGACTGTTTTCTCGAGAAACAAAAACAACCCCCCTCCCACCCGCCAACCAAAAAAAAAATGTTTTCTTATTGTTTCTTCAGAATTTGGCTATAAGCATAATGACTGCTTGAATGCAGAAGATTTTGAAACTTTTAAGAAGTACTAATGAAAATCTTCAAAAGCGGTATCTTACCTGGTAATTATGGACTTCGGGATTTGTTTTAGAGCTAAAGAAAAGAAGGGAAAACTGTAATGTAACAGGTTGTAAAGCGGCATTATCTGTGATTTATTTAACCATCATCAACAAATACACCACTGTTAGGAATTTTCCCGAACACCATTTCTTCTTCGGTTTACAATAGCTGTTTAAATGAGGCAACCAAACAGCAATTTCTTTCTGTCACTTTTGAGCTCACAGAAACACAAAGGCAATATTCCAGAATGCTGCTGGCGATGTCATGTTTCGGTGACACCACTGAATTTTAGCTCCCATCCCAGGTCTGCACTGGCATTGCTGGTTGGCTATCCAGAGCGTTCTCCAACCGCAGGGAGAGCTCAGCTGCCCATAAGCACCTATCGCGGTGGGTCCCACTATCAACGGGGCTGTGATCGGGCCACCGCTCTGGAACGCTCATTCCATAAAAGGCTCTGCACTGGGACCTTCCCATCTGTTACTATTTAACCCACACGACAAGGCTATAAGGTCAACAACCGGTACCACCCCTTCTTACAGATAAAGGGAAGGTTGCCTAACAGAGGGGTGAGGAAACCTGCTCAGGGCCAGCCAGCTAGTCCGTGGCAGGGCCAGGGCTGGAAGAGACAGCTGCTCCAGCCCAAAGCCCATGTGCTTTCCACAAAGCCAAGTGGGCTCCCTGAGGGTCTGAGAAAAGGTTCCGGGCTCCTGATGCATGAGTCTAGTTTGATGGACTCTGACATATAACTATTTTGGTTAGAAAACAAAACAAAACAAAAAAACACATATATCTGTATCTCTCTATATAGGTCATATACTGGCCGAGAAGGCTGGCTTCACGTAAAACACAGCCAACGTGTTTTGTCCGCGAGGTTGGCTGCTGCCAGGAAAACTACGAACGGCACCATCGCTGGGCCACAGTGCCAGTGCCAAACCTGAAATCAAGGTTTATTGCTTCTCCAACAATGAGAGAAACAGTTCATTGTTACGAGTCTAGCTTGGGGTCTAAATGGCTCTGTGTTCCAGTTTCACGAGAGGGCGGGTGCACAGAGCCAGGCTGCCGGCCAGGTTTACCTCCAGCCTGGTCTCACCAGGAAGGGTAAGTGTTCGGCAAGGTGCTATTTTTCTGTATCACCTCTGCAGCCCGGAGCCCAATTTCATCCCTGGCTCCCACAGCAATCCTACTCACCCTGGGATCCCACAGGCTCTGAGGAGCAACTGAACAGCTGCAAACAGTGGTCATTAGCTCATTTGTTCCTAAAGGGTATATTTACTGTGTGTGTGTGTGTTTTTTTGCAGTGGACATTTTTTTTTAGTTTGTTTTGGTTCCCAATATATATAATTTCCACTAGATGCTAAAAGGAAAAATATAATTTTATTAGGGAAAAACAAAACAATCACTACCTTAGGAAGCAAAGGAAAGACATGTCATAACTTGGAAGCCCTTGAGAATCCAAAGCAACAGGTGCAGAAAGGTGTAGCGACTCTGGGCAGGCTGCCTGCCACGGGGATTCTAGTGATGGGCAGGCTTGTGGGCCTGCAAGGAAGCCATGAAGGGACCCCGCAACCTCCTCCTTCCCTTGGGGGGGCAGGGTGTGATGCCCAGTGGTTCAACAGGACCCTGGAGCCCCTTCTCTAGGTGATGAGACGTGAACGCAGACACAAGAGTCAGCCGCTTGTCCCCCAACTGCGGGCAGAGCTTCAAATCAGAGACAGAAGGCCGAGTTCCCAGCTGTGTGATACGGGGCTGGTCGTGTTCTCTAGCACCCTGGGGCCCTGCCAGATGTCTTGGGGCTGCTTGGTGGGGAGGGGGGTGCAGATGAACAGGCAGGCACCGGCCTCCTCCTCCCTGCCTGGCTTCACCCAGAGCAGCTCTACTTTTATCTGCACTTGACGCTGGGCTCCCAGGTCAGCATTCTTTCAGGGGGCGGACAGTGGAGGCTAAGAAAGTGTAGACCGACACTGATCTAGCTCAACCTCCTTGTTTTCCGTGGGGGGAAAAAAAAAAAAAGGTGACCCAGGAGGAAGGCCTAAGGTCCCAGAGCTGGATGAAAGCAAGGCTGGGGGGTGAGGCGGGAGACCGCCTGCATCCTCATCACCCACCAGGGCCTGGGTTCCCACTTCCCTCCCCTACCAGGCCATGCCAAGCCCAGCCCCCTCTCCGGAACACCTGCCACAGTCAAGCTGTGCTCATCTCCAAGATCTCCCCAGCAGCCTGAGCCCTGTGCCTGGCAACACCCAGGAGCTAACGAAACTGGGCTCCCAGTGGCTGGAGCTTGGACACCAGGACCCAAACAATTACAGCCTGTGACTCTCAGTCAGAGCCCACATGTGCAAACAGCTGTTTCTGAGATCGAACAAGAGGTCCATGCAAGGTGGGATGGGGCTTCTCACCTGGGCCACACACCAGAATCACCTAGGAGCTTTAAAAAACCAGATGCCTCGGTCCCCCTCTCTGTGACGGATGCCATTAGCCTGGGGCGTGGCCCGGCAGAGGGGGAGCTTTCAAGATTCACCAGGAGATCCCACGTACAGCAAGGATCAAGAGCTTCTGTGCTGGGGAAGGGGCTGGCAAATCCCACCCCAAGGGCCAAGCCTGGCCCACCTGCACTTATGAGGAAAGTTTTATTGGAACACAGCTGTACTCTTTCATTTACACACTGTCTACGGCGGCTTGTGTGTGCCAGCGACAGAGCTGAGCCATCGTGAAAGAGACAGCATGGCCTCCAAGGCCCACAGTGTTTACTCTCCGGCCCTTTACAGGAAAAGCGGCTCACACCTGGGCTGGGGTTTCCACCTTGTGTTCTTCCGTCTCCACAACATTTGATAAAGGCATTTAGTAAAGGGCTTCTGTGTTGTACGTCTGTAAAGCTGGCGCGTCACTGAGCGGATCCCACATGTGCTCTTGTGAAGCTTTTGCTTAAGGGTGCGGCCTTTCTTCCCCATCCCTGCCTGCAGTGGCCTCCGCACAGTGCGCTGCACACCTTCCTCTCACCTTCATCGCCCACCATTGTCATAAGCAAAGCCCAGAGCTATGCAAACAAAGCAGCTGTGTTTAAAAAAAAAAAACAAAAACAAACTGTCTTGGAACATTCTGTTGTGTACTTATTGAAAACCAGGAGGATGGTATAGCCAGGCAGAGAAAAATGGGGGAAAGATCATCAGGTGACTCACTCTGTGGTTTAACTGTACTAAGGAAAAAGTCAACATTGCAAATAAAGACAATAATGAGAAGAGCTGGACCCCAGAGTCTGGGGGAACTTACCAGAACTGAGCTGCTATCACCGGGTTGGTTGCTTTAAAGGAAAAAAAAGGTGTGTCATCTCAGAGAGCTGTATCACTCTTTACCACTCAAGGGCAATGACCAGGGTGGACAGTTCTGTGATTTCAGAGGGGTCCTGATCCCAGGAGGCAAAATCTTCACCTTAGCTACTTCTCCTTTCTGGAGGAAAAGTCTCCTCTCCCCTGGGCCAAGCCCTCCAATTCACCCAGCGAATGCTGAGCACGTTCCCGGGGCCCGGTGCTCTCAGATGCAGAGATCAGAGACGATTCTCACTGTCAAGGAGCTCCCAGTCTTGACACAGAGACAGAGGTGCACAGAATCAAAGACAGCAAAAGGGGATGAGGAAGGCTGGACTAGGAGCCTGACTGCACTGGGAAGCTCAGGACAGACTGGCTGGAGCAGGCATGCGCATCTGTGGAAGGGACCATGGACAGAGTCAGCGCCTTTATCTGGACTCCACTTGCTTTTGAAAGGATGCAGCATGGAAAATCATGCAAAGCTTCACAGAGATGCCAGAACTCTGGCTGGAGAAAACACCAGTAAAACAAGAGGGAAAAGAGGGTAGAGACTGGGAAGGAAAGTAGAGAATCAGAGAAGCTGTGGTCTGGAAGAGCCCCAAAGCCACCCATGGGGTCAAAGGTCAAGTCAAAGGCAACTTCCTCCCTCTGCAGTGGCTATGCCAGGGGTCTTTCCCTTTGTGTCTGCACATGCCTCCAGCGCCTGGGAGCTCATCAGGGTCTTGAGATGGCTCTATCTTTGGATAACACCATAAGGAAGTTCATCCTCTTTTTGGAGTATTTTTGGAAAACACTGACCCAATGGACCGAAGCAGGCATAAGCCTTGACAGGGAGGCAACACACGCCTCCTCCTCTCTTCAACGCATCACTTGTCACTCCCAATTCCTGCAGTCAGTCACCTTCAACCACTGTCACCCTTCTCTGGGGACAGCCCCCCATGCTCTCACCCTCTGGTCTTTCTTGAAGGTGAGGTCACATTTCCTGGGCTCTGGACACTCTGTCTTTATTAAAGCAGCCAAGAATGACTTTAGAGAGCTTCTGGCTACCATGGTATTGCACCATTGGTTCAAAAAGGCAGGAAACAGTGGGGAACACAAGGTTAGATTCTAGAACAGGGGCAAGTATAGATGCGGGTCCCACAAAGGCTCACTAAGTCCTGAATTATATGAGAAAAACCTACGGAATGGCCACTAGGAGTAAGTGATATATATATATGTAGGAAAGGACCTGGGGGGTTGGAGTACAGAGGCCATGCCATGGAAGAGCCCACAATTCAATGCTAAACTAAGTGTCCTGAGGGGAGGAATAATTAAGCACAGAAGGAGAGCTAGGAGGTGGGATGTGGAGGCCCGATTTAAACGAGCTGCTTACTCATTCACTGACTGATCCTGTATTGGGCGTCCGGCCTCAGACAGGCGTGAGGCCACAGTAGTAATGGACAGACATGGCTCAGGGAGTTCTGTCAAGAGGGGGAGGGGCAGGCTAAATTCAAGGGCAGGGTGTGTTCAGATGCACCGTGAGACCTGAGTCCGGGATTTAAAGTTCCAGATCTGCCCTTATATGTGGACAGAATTCTGGTTAGCATGAGACTAACGTCCCCATTTGAAATTGTAAGATGGAGGAGAGAAGGTACTGTTTTCCCTCCAAGACATAGGATCATCTTTCACGGGCAAGAAACGTGGTAACCTAGGATATACCTAAGGTCCCGGGTCCAGCAGAAGCAAAGAGGTACAAGAAAAGAAGTAAGAAAAAGAGGGACAAGAAAATGAACACATCTAATGGGGAAAACTAAAGACAGTGGACAGGAAAAGTAGCCTCCGGAGAATCCTTCCCATTGGGATTTTGTCAAAAGCTTCAGAATGACAGAGCAGAACGGCAGACGGTTCCTTTAAGAACGGCTTTACCAAGCTCCTTGGGGCTTAACCCCCTAAACTGTAAGGTAAAATTCCAGGCAGAATGAACAACACCCCACCTTTGAACGTTGAATGTCTCCGGGATGGATAGCGTTTACTAGGCTTCCGCTCGAAGGTGCTGGTTCTTCGTAACCTGGCGCCATGCGTGGCTTGATACTCTGTCCGCCCGCTGGAAGGTAAATATTTCATTGCATATATCACAATATCAGTACATTATGCATATTTGGAAGCATGCTTCTATTTTCAAGAGCTCCAATGTAAATTTCAACTTATCGTGAACTCCTTTGGTGAAGACACATACTAAATTTAGCCTTGCATTTGGAAATAAAACCTCTGCCAAATGCAGGCTGTATTATAGGGGCAGATATTTCCACCGAAAGACAAAAGCCTGCAATTTAGGTACCAGCCACTTGACTCCATAGACCGAGCAGGTCCAAGTACTCAGAACATCTGACTGAGAGAGAACAATGATCCACAAATAAAATAACCTTTCATAACACATTATGTAGACATTTACCTCTTCTAAAACGCCGTAATCAATGACCACTTAAGTCAACCTTGGCCCTCCTTACTCTGCCAAGGGAAACAGGATTTCTTTCACCAAGGCTTTCTGGGTTTCAACCACCGTGTGGCCTCGCTGCCGTTTCCAAGACGTGCGCTGTTTTTGTCTGAGCGGCTGTATCCCAGTCACGCTCGGCTGAGGATTTCTTACACAGAAGGGGTCACTTGTCTCCTGCTCTAAGAGCCTCCAAGGGGCATCCCTGTCTCCGACCTTCCCTTCCTTCTTCAGTTCTCTTCAAGGAGCAGAAGGAGCCTGCTGGCCAAATCCTGGGGGAATTTCCTCCCAGGATGGAAAAACCCACCTTGGCAGCCATCCCAACAGCCACTTCCTTGCACAGTACATAAATCTGAGATGAGCGCATTTTTTGGCATATTCAAGAGTTCAAGGACATGCCTTGTGTGGGTAGAGGTTATGAAACCAGGTGAAGTTTTAGAGTGTATAACAGTGGTTCTCAGATCTGTAAACGAGCCTTGGAAACCAACCTTGGGGAGGTCATTTAAAATGCACATCCCCAGGCCTTGCTCATGAACGCGTATGTGTGCGTACCCCATCAATTCTGATTACAAGGGTCTCGGGTAAGTTCATAAATCCTCATTTTTAATAAGCCCACAAGGAATTTTTATGTTATTTGAAAGACACGGTCCTACATTCATAAGTAAAAATATGTGGAAAATGAAATTCTTCATGTTTTTGGGGTCTTTTCAGATTCAGATATTTACTGAGCCCATCCTGGGTCACTTGCACACATGTGGACATCTGCTCTCATTCTAATCATCACCAAATTTCTTAATTTATTTAATTTAAATAATAATTTAATTCAAATATTTATTTAATATTAGTCTTGGGGCACTGGAGTGGCTTGGTTGGTTGAGCATCCAACTCTTGATTTTGGCTCAGGCCATGATCTCGTTGGTCATGAGATCGAGCTGCTCTTGGGGGTTTCCTCTCTCTGTGCCTCCCCAAATAGCACACACACGTGCTCTCAATCCCAAATAACTTTTTAAAAAAATTCATTTAATACTACTCTTAATGGCCACATGTGGCTAGTGTCTACTGCACATTTCCAGTTACATGTCAGCGATTAACAATTCTGGTATTTGCCCCATTTTATCCATGAGGACACGGAGGCTGAAAGAACTTCAGGGGGGGCACCTGGGTGGCTCAGTTGGTTAAGCAACTGTCTGTGGCTCAGGTCATGATCCTGGGGTCCTGGGATGGATCAAGTCCTACACTGGGCTGCCTGCTCAGCCGGGAGTCTGCTTTGCCCTCTGCCCCCCCACCCCCATGCGCTCTGTCTCATTCTCTCGCTTTCAAATAAATATATAAAATCTTTAGAAGAGTTCAGGGACGGAAGGTCAGATCTCAAGAAAGAAGCAGGGATGTCCGACTCAAGCCTCCGGGCACACACCCACACTTTGCTCCATTCAAGAGACACGCCCTGGGCCCCTCCTTCGGAAGCGTGTGTCCACATGGCGGAAACCGGTGCCCACCTGAATCTGAAGCGAGACCCCAGCCGGATGAAGTCTGATCTGTTGGATTTGCTATTCCCCGGCGTGCGCAAGCGGAAGAAGGCGTGATGCTCCACGGCGCATTTCCAGAGGTGCTTGCAGGTCCGGGCGCTGTCCAGCCTGAACACGAACGTGTGCTCCTGCTCCCGGCCCTGCGAGGCGAAGCACACGGTGCCGCGATCGGTGCGTGCCCGTGACCTCGGTCGCGCAGGATCTGTGGCGAGGGCGGAAGACCACGGACAAGCCTTACCTGGTCATCGTCCTCTACCACCACCAGCGTCAATTTGCTCTTTTTAAAATCCATTTTGGTAATTTTAGGCCTGGTCAGAGAGAAAACATTTTAAAAGCACAATCGGCAGGAAGGCGATCTACACAAACAGCAGTTTCCTTTCTACGTTTTTTAAGCTTTGATTTGCTCAAGAAATCATTCATTCATTCAAGTGATTTATTTACCCAGAACTCTCACGGCCACTGCCAAACACCGGCGTAGGCGAGAGTACGGTGTGTTTTTAAAGCACGTCTGGGTGTTGCCAATATCCCTCAATGATCATCCATCAACAGAGAATTCCACCACAAAATAGGAAAAGACATTTTTAATATTAGACAAAACTAAATTACCAAAAGAATAAGCCTATTTTGTTAGCTCCTTCAAAGATTAATATGCCTGTCGGGGTCAGTCCAAGAGAATATTCACAGCCATCTCTCCCCTACAAATAAACGAAGTGACAATCGGTACAGGGTTCCAACAGGTCGTCACAGAGCAGAATGCACAACAGTTTCCTCGCCACATTACTGTGCCGGCACACTGTTCACACGTGGCCCAGTCGCAGCGCACCCCGAGAGACCCCAAGACTTAACCCACACAGTTCTTACCCTGACAACGTGCATGTCTACCCCATACATTTCCAGCCACTTCGCTTTATTCAGATAGGACAGCTCCGCCTGGGCAGGGCTCTTTCCCCTTAGAAAAACCAAGGGAAACACATGTAAACTGCGGCTCGTAACCCCCCGATGGGACTCTGAGGGGCACAGCCACATTGGGATGCTTGGCAGTGACTAGAAGAACAAGGGACACCAATCCGGGTGAACAGGAAAAGGCCTCCATGGACAGACTGCTCTCTGACTAGAAAGATGACAGACAGCAGTGCTTATAACGTGAGCACGGAAGGCGACAATTTTTGTGCATGGACACGGCTGTGTCCACGCCAGGTAAAAAGGCCAGAGAGCTGCACCACTGGCTGTGGAGAGGACAGTGGGGGGGGAGGGGCGCGTGCAGGGCGTGACACCGCCATGCCACAGCCACACCTTCCTCTGCCCTTCCAACCTGGTACGAGAGTGGGCTAGCGTCACCTTCCAGTTTCAAAAAAAAAAAGGTCATGAGGCCCCTTCGAAGGACGGAAGGACAGGAGGAAACTAGGCTCCGTTTCTGAGTCCAAGACTGACTCAGAGGAGGCGGAGTCTGGGAAGGTGGGCTGGGAGGGCAGAAAGGCATGAAACTGTCCACTAGGGAGACCCCGGCTGGGGAGAAGGAGGGAAGAGGCAAGACGTAAACGACAAGGCTGGATCTAGCTGTGGCGTTGCATGTCCTGAAATATAACGCTGTACAACACGTGGCCTCAAATACAGGCGTCCCTGTAGGGTGTCTAAAGGGTTTATTCTAGAAGATTCAGGCCACGGACAGAGACCCAGGTGTGGAGGAAGACACGGAGGCAGAGCCTCCGTGCTCCCTTTAGGAGGCCAGGTGAGCAGCGCTGTCCCCCGCTGGAACAAGCCAATCAGGACCAGGCTCTGTAATTCAGAGAGCAGCGGGAGTGTGGTTCTGTCCTGCCTGTGTATCTCAGTATCTCAGGAAAGACAGGAGTCGTGGTGGGGGAGGGGGCTTTGGAAACATGGGACTGAGAGCCACGGGCGAGAAGTGAAAAGCTGGAGCTACAGTTTTATAGTCTTCAACCAGAGCAACTGTGCTGCCACATCTGAGTCCGACACATGCTTACAGATCACGAAAGAAACGCATGAGAATGCGAGATGGTACCTGCACTCTTTCCATCTCTGGAAGATATCAAATTCCATCGCTTCTGTCTGATTTGGAATGAACCGAAACTCAGACACAAGCTCTGGCGTGTGTTCTGGAAGCTCGCACTCCCCCAGCTCCGCTGCGAGGTTCATAAAAGGGGAAAAAACAAAACAAAACAGGAGATGGTGAATGCTTTCGGTGATTGCTGCAACCAGGTCCAGAGGCAGTTTGCACAATTGTAATAAAGCATAGGTAGCCCCACGTGGAGGACCCCCCTCCTTTCAGGAGGGCTGAACTCCCACCTGGTGCCCACACGTACATCCAGAATCCCCGAGAATCATCCTCGTGCCCTCCCCACTGGTCAAAACACCATTATCTCAGTTATGACTCTCTCTCTCTCTCTCTCTCTCTCTCTCTCTCTCTCGCCTGCTTCTCCTACCCAAGGAGGCCCAGATTATGTTTCCCCCGTGAGATGGTAGAGCCCAGATCTGCAATAAAAGGCAACTGAAAGGAACGAGGACCTGCTCGGAAACATCCATTTCGGCAGGCTCTCGCAAAGGGTGGGTCCAGAGCAGCACTCCCGAGCCTGCAGTGCTGGAGAGGACCAATCAAGCATTCAGTACATGTAGAATCTGGGGGAAAATAAGCTGGGAGGGAGCGGGGAGGAGGGAGGGAGGGGGTGACAAGGCTGCAGGAGCAACTGCGGCAAGTCAGCCAGAACCAGGAGGGAGACGGCAACGCAGACGAGGAACAGCCACGTGAGCTGTCCCAGCAGAGAGCCTGGGGGGGCCCTGCACACTAGTTGCTCTAGCCAAGTACCCCACAGAATGGAGGGCCTGAGGACACAAGGGGCCCCAGGCCTCCAAGACAGGAATGAGAAAATCCACTCTCCCCAGCCCGGACCCCACCCCTGCAGCTCAGGGGGCAGACCCCAGGACGGAAAGGAATCTTCCAGCGGTTTCTCTAACATCCCGCTACTATGCACAGTGTCCGCATCACCCAGGAGTTTGCTTCTAATGCCCAGTCTCAGGCTCCAGTCCAAAACTACTGATGTCAAAGCTGCCTTTTCACCAGAAGCCCAGGTGATGGGCTCACAGGTTACTTTGGAAAGCACGGATCTGCACTGCTGGCCTTTGAACTTGCGTGTGGGTCAGGAACACCCAGAGGGCTCGCTAAAACACACATTGTTTTTTTTAAAGATTTTTATTTATTTATTTGACAGACAGATCCCAAGCAGGCAGAGAGAGAAGGAGGGGAAGCAGGCTCCCTGCTGAGCAGAGAGCCCAATGTGGGGCTCGATCCCAGGACCCTGGGATCATGACCTGAGCCAAAGGCAGAGGCTTTAACCCACTGAGCCCCCCAGGTACCCCTAAAACACACTGTTGAACCCCATCTGCCAAGATTCTGATACCACAGGGCTGGATGAGGCCTGAGAATGTGCATTTCTAGCAAGTTCCCAGGTTATGCCGATGCAGCTGACCAGGGCACATACCTTGAGAAGCCCGGCTCAACAGAACAGATCCCACCAACTGATGAGTCAGCACACAGTCATACTGTCTGAACCCCTCTAGTCACAGCCCTCACTAAGTCCCCAGCAGCCTTTCCAATCCGAGAGCTCAGTTTTCCGGAGGGACCCAACGGGCTTGCAGAAGGGCTGAGCCTTTTCTGTCCACACACAGGACTACCACGCTCAGAGGGGACGTGGGAGGGCTGGATGAGACGCTGCCTGACACGGGGAGGGGACCTGGTGAACGTCTTCTCACCTGACCGAGGCCTTTCATTTGCAACTCTGAGTGGACAGCCCCCTGAAATCACCAGGGTGGTCTGGGGCAGGGTGTGCAGCTACTTGGTACCTCGAGCAAAGTCACAAATGAGGATTCTGCTCTGGAAATAATGCACCCAGCGAAGGGGAGGGCTGGGCTCCCAAGGCTACCACTACCACTGACCTCTGACCAAGCGCTCACCCTGAAATTAGAGGGCTGGTGAGGCTAGCGGGGAAGTGTGGGCAGAGCTCCCCTTCCTATGAACCATGCTTCCCCTGCACCCACGGGCCGAAGGGGGGCAACAGAACCCTGGGTTGAGTGACGTCTCAGCGACACCACTAACATCATCAAGCACAGCAGGAAGAAGCCAGACAATGGTAAGGTTTTCCTGAGACCGGGCAAGGGGGCCCGGGTCCCTCCTCACTGTTGCTGGATGAGAACCAGCATGAGCAACACCTAGTACATGTACACTGAGACAGCACGCTCGCCTTCCGAGAATCTGCCGGCCAAATGACACTCACTGTCTGTGAGCTCTGCAGCCAGAGTCCTGGCTGTGGGGAGTGCGGCGGAGAAGGGTGGTGGGGTGGGGGTAATTGGGGGTGGGGTAGGGTGGAAACAGCTCAGACCAGGAGGGCCCGAATCCGTCCTCTACCGTCCACTATCTTTGTGCCACCCAGGCAAGCCACTTAACTGCTCACCATTTCTGATGCCTCGCCTGTAAAAATGGGAACTGCTGCAAGGACAAATCCCCCCACTCTTTCTTTCTGCCTAAATTAACTTTCTTTTTTTTTTTTTTTAAGCTTTTATTTATTTGTCAGAGAGAGAGAAAGGGAGAACACAAGCAGGGAGAGTGGCCGAGAGAGAGAGAAAGAGAGAGAGAGAAGCAGGCTCCCTGCTGAGCAAGGAGCCGGATGCGGGACTCAATCCCAGAGTCTCATGACCTGAGCCGAAGGCAGACGCTTAACTGACTGAGCCATTCAGATGTCCCAGTAACTTTCAAATCTACCATCAACTTAGTCCCCAAAAGAGCGCAGCCTTCACTCAGGGCCACTGCGTCTGCCCCTCCAGAGCACCATCCATTCAAGGACAACCACAGCAAGACATGTCTGCAAGGCTCAAGCAAGGGAGGAAAATACACCCTCCATTTTATGCAAAGCCAGACAAGCTCCAGTAACCTAGATGACCTGAGGCAGACTGGCTCCACAGGGTCGAACTGGAAAGCAGGCTGTGGCACCTCCCAACAAGATGTGGGGAAAAGAGGCCTCAGAGGGACAACGTAACAAGACCTCCCTGACTTGTGTGTCTAAGCCTTCAGCCTTCTTCAATCGTACGGGACACAATGACTGTATCTTAAATGACAATCAATTGTGGTTCCAACTCAAATGGGTCATCTCCCCGAGAAAGGCTCACAGACAGCAACCTCATTCACGTCTGCCCCAGCTCTGGAGCGCGCGGCAAGTGGTCCTACCAGAGCTGGACTTTGGGAGTGTGATGATGACTTCATCCCATGGCAGGAAGTGAGGGAGAGTGGAGGGGAGGGGAAGATGAGAATGTATGTGCCTGGCACGCTCATGGTTCTGGACCCATGGAACGATGGCGCCGGGTCGGACAGGGATGTGACTTCGTCCCGTTAACCACACTCTGACATCTACTGCTGAGCCACCAACTCTGATGGCAGAAACTCCGGAAGACTCAGAAACTCTAGCGCGGATACTACTTGGCCAGCTGGTGATATTATACCTGGCCAAAACGGAGAGCAGATTGCCATGTCCCCCAAGCACTCACCATAAGGACTGTTGTATCAGGAAACGTGGACATGAAGCACGGAGCATTGTATCTGGCACAGACATTCACAGAGGACAATACTGTCATCTCTACCATCCGTGCTTTCAGACCTCGGGGCAAGCTCCCCCTTCAACCACAGTCTTTGAAGGGCCTCTCCCACTTCATTCAATTCCTTCTATATTTACTGAGCACCTGCTATATGCGAGCCCCATTAGAAAACAAGAATTAAAGTGACTAAGGAATAGTATTATCAGGTAAGGGGAGTATCCTGCAGTCATTAAACACCATCTTTACGGCAAAAAATGTACACTAAAAATACCAAGTAGAAAATCATACAAAAAATTATATATGACTTGTCAGAATTACATTGTAAAGACTGCACCCGGCTCACAGATGATAGGTTCCTTCCTTCCTTCCTTCCTTCCACTTTTCTATTGTGCTGCTGTCCTGATATTCTATAATAGATGTGTACTGATTTTATAATTTGAAGACGTAGATCAATTCTAAAAATTGGCAAATACAAAAGCTGGAAGCCAAATCTTATAATGGTATTCAAAATTAATTAGTAATACGCATAAATACATCATAATTCATTATCCCATAGAAGCCGATAAACGCACTGGTAAATGAATCCACGACATATGTCTATCTGATATGCTGATAAAATTCCTTATGTGCAGTTACACGTTCGTATCCTCTTAATTAATGTTGGAGACCTTAGCAAGGGTTTCTTGTGCATTTTAAACTAAAATCCACCAGTGCCTAATATGGAACAGCCAACGTTGACAACCAGGCAGGAAAACCTACCATCTAATGCCCACCTCTAAGCAGATGACTCCTTGTCAATGCTTCTGGCCTGACCTCTCTGATGTAGCCAGATGTGGACACTCAAGAAGCTACTGGGGGTCCCCCTGGCACCTCTCAGCCAAGAGGCCCTTCACAGGAGCCAACTGTTCTAACCATTCACTGTTCCCATCACCTGCCACAGATCTCATGACCAGGTCCTTCTCCTGCACCAATAATGTTTTTCTGGGGCTGTGTGTGCGTATGCGTGCGTGTGCCCCCTGCCCTGGTCAGTTTCCTTTTATTACAGCAACACCTTCTAACTGCAGCCTCAGCCCTGGTCTTGCTCCAGTCCCTCCTCCCCATCACAGACGGTGTGCTCTTTCTAAACGCACACCTGACCGGGCCTGCCTCCCTCTTAAGAGCCTTCAGGGGCCTGCTGCTGACAGCATGATAGTCATGCCATCTAAACAGGGTTCAAGTCTGTCCACTTCTCCGGGTTCTTAAACTTCCACCCTCTGACACCACGTGACCGCTGATGCCTCTCTGCACTTTCCTACTTTGTGTCTTGATTCCTTTGTGCACCCTCATCCACTCATCCCCACGAAGGGCCTTCGCCTTCTAAGCCCCCTGCAGCAACTATGCTACCTCTTTGTGGTTCTGCCATGTCCTCACGGGACCGCAAGCTACTCGGAGATGGAGGCTGTACTGTATCCAATTATACCCCAAAGCAGAGAACTGAGCCTGGTACACAGGATCATCAATCGCTGAAACAAGAGCAAAACATTAAAATGCTAATTACCACCAAAGAAGAATGTACCTTGTAGACAGAGAGCAGCTAATTCCACAGCCGTTTCATAGGGGCATTTCAATCTTGGGAGGAAAAAAGAGAGAGAGGAAATTAATTCTGTATATGAACTTTAATACTCGTAAACCATACAAAATATCATTAAAGTCATTTTTCAAAAGGTAGTGATATTTAGATAATGATTTTTCTCAGCGGCTTCTATTTTTGCTGCCCACATTAAACAATGCAAACAAGCTGACTTCCGCTACCTATTTCCAAAGTCAGTCTCACTGTCTAGCAAAAGCACCCAACCCTGGTATAGTCTCTATCCACCCTGTTGGCAATTTTACTGAATTTGGCAGGAATGGGGGACATTTGGGAAATGGAATGAACAGCCTTCCCTTGCCTTGTGATTCTGAAACTTACTTGATCTAGTACATGCGCCTTTTCAAGCTGCCTTACGTCTTTCTTGAAACCAGGTCATCATGTTAAAAATAAGCAGACAGACACACTATCTAACACTGCCAGGACAGCTGGGCACACTCAACCGTTCTCGTAAGTAGAAGGGAGGCAGACCCACGGAGGGGAATTACTACACCTCCAATCACTGACCTCATTCACACTTCAAATTACAAACTGAGTCAGAAAAATAATAATGACATCCATTGGTATAGCACTTCATAGTTTTCAAAGCCTTTCACATGTATGGCCAAATGCGGTCAATGCACAGAGTTTATAAGCCCCGAAGACGGGTGCTCCCAGGGCTCCCCACCCCCCACTTTAGAGATGAGGAACTAAGTGTTCATGTGTCTTGCTCAAGGCCATCCAGCTGGAAGGAGGCAGTGCTGGGGACCAGGGCACCCCTGTGTAAATCAGGTAAATCAGGCCAAAGTACACGGAAACTGCAAAGTACCATAAAAATGCAAGATGTTGCCATTAATATTTTTCAAGTGGAAGACAATTACTAAAGATAAGAGGCCTTTCTTAGGAGGAGCACAGTATGCAGAGAGGGAGAAAGACAGAAATACACACACACTCGTAATACACACACCAAAGATTTGTAGTGCATGACTGAAAAAGGCAAATGTATACACTGTACAATCTACTTGTTCCATGGTATAATCGCCATCAAGGTTTCTATAGCGTATGTTCGATGCAGAGCCTGCAAATTCGGACATCACTTTTCCAATTTCCTCCTGAGTGTATTCAAAATCAAGACAGGCTCTTTTCAGCATCAGGGATCGCTTTTTGAGATTCAGAATGGCCTTTATTTTCCGTGGAACAGAATATGGTCAGTATGTATGCAGATAAGTGACACAACTGTAAGGGCTAGGACATTGGAATTTCCCATCCTTAAAATGAATACTGCAGGCGAGACCAACCACATGGGTACCAAACCCCCTTGCGCTCACCAATCATTGTTGCCAGAGGCCTGGTATTGAAAAACCATTTTTAAGAAGGGAAAAGGAAATGAGGCGAGATGTCGAAACCTCCTATCAGAGTCAGAACATAACCTATTTCGTTGCTTAAATGCAGATGGTGATGAATGAGACTTCTGACTGCCCAAATGCTTGTAAGTGTATACATACTAATAACGTATCTTGCTTGCAAATACGACAAAAGCCATTATGAATGGGGCAGTGATGTGATCAGGGAGAGAATTATTCCCAAATGCACATCACTTAAGATATTAAATGCTCTTGGAAATGTTTCAAGCCATAGGGTAATCATTTAAAACAAGATGACAATGACAGTGATACAAGTATTAGACTCACTTTACAATGCCTGGTGTACTTTTTTTGAATTTTGAAAAGGGAACAAGGGTAGAAGAGTTAAAACAACAACAACATCAACAGTGCTTTAGAAATATACTATGATCAATCCTGCATTAAGAGTGAGAACAAAAACATACTTACTTTCCTGAAAGAATGTCATGCCTGAGTTGTAAAACAAACAGGTACCTGATAAACATACACAAAAGTCAACAGAGGGTCCCTCTTTCCCAGCTGCTTCCAATCCCCAACTGCCCATCACAAATCCCACCCCCGACACAGCCCACAATTCCGCATTGTAAAAAGGAGTCCAAATCAAATGAGAACTTTTGGTGGAAGCATCTCCTCTTCAGTCTCCAGGTAAGGCCTCCCAGAACCTAGCTAGGCAGGTGAGCACATGTACAGGATTTGCAAGATACTCAGAGGATGGAACATGGAACACGGCACAGTCCAGTGACAGCCTGGGCAACACCGGCAGTGCTCGAGAAGAGGAGAGCTCACACACAGGCATGCGGCGTGTCCAATCAGACAGGGCGGAGTTCCCGGACGTGGCCCTCAGCCAGTCCCACCAGCACATTCTGGGAAGGGTGCAGCTGCTTGTATCAGAAAGTTTACAGTTGCCAGTAGTTAGCAACTGCTTGACGCTTTTTTCCTGATGCAGGTTAACTGCAGACTCTGTCTTTCAAAAAATAATTTCGTGTACACATACACACACACCCCCCCAAAAAATCCCGGATCTGGGCTGCAGGGGGTTATGGGGTAACAAGAAATGGGGAGAGGAAAGCAGCAAATAACACAAGTGGAATTCGCCTAAGTAAAAAAAAATAAAATAAAACAATTAAGTGTCTTGGCTTAACTAAGTGTTTTTTTTTTAAACCAGGAGGATGTGGGCATCAGAACCGCTTATAGTGCTTTGTAAAAGCCAAAGCTACCCACGCTCCGCCCCATACCTATGGAATCAGTCTTACATGCAAGAGTGGTCCCCAGGAATCTGATTTGTTCAAAAGTGTCCTAGGTGTTTCTGATTCACACAACCCTGGTTAAGAATCACCAGCTTTGATGATGGCTAGAAGCAGCATGTTTCGTAAAGGATTCTGAAGAGGAACTCGAGAATAATTTGTTTGAACTTGGAAAACAATGCAGACGGTCACTCTCTGTTGGAACGGATCTAGGAGCATGTGGGTGACCCAGAAATCAAAGGATGGGGGAGCTGAAGGTTCTAGTACATTCCAGAATGTTCCTGCTTCCGAGAGCTGCTTTGCCACTACTGAGCTGAGTACTTACATCAAAGAGAACACAGGGCTGACATGGCCAGAACTTCCAATTTCTATAGGAAAACCTAGCTACGGAAGGCCAGTAGGCCTCTCTAGGCTGGAGAATGAGGACAAGCAGTCTTTAAAAGTATTCCTTGGGGGTCATCTCCAGGCTAATGGCCACCACCATGAGCTGACATGTCACCACTACGTCAATCACAAAAAATGACAAAGAGGGACATCTAAAGCAGCGGAAGGCTAGGTAGAGAGTCTCGCTGCCAGAAGGGTAAGTGGAGGGAAATTCCGTACTTAAAATGTTTTTAAAGTCTCTTTTGCTTCAACACTGTTTCTGAAGTCTAAGAGATAGGCATAGGCGGGCACAGCTCAAAAGAAATCCAGCGGGGCTGAAAGATAACATGAAGGGGTTCCAGCAACTTTGATATTGGAGCAATCAAGGGAACACTGTGCAGCCCCTTAAAAAAATAAGATGGCAATCTGGGACTAAGAAATGCTCTTCCAACACCTGGTTTTCCCTTGGTAAGGCTACCAAAAGGGAAGCCTTTTTGCACCTAGACGAAAATAAAGTGCCCTAGAACGACTCATCAGTTTATGCATAGCCCAACAAAACAGAAACGTGACAAGAATATAAAATCTTTCAACTCTGATTCGCTAAGAAAAAGTTCAAATTAAGCAAAGGGAAGATTTTCAACAGAACACAGAGACAAGCACAGGGAGGGTACAAACAACTCTTGCTCAGAACTGAAAGCCAGCAGACATAAGAGGAGGCAGATCCACAACACAGAGAACCCGTAAGTTGCAAGGCAAGTGCTACGGGAAAGAGGGAAACCTTGTCCTGCATGTTGTCCTACCTTGTAAACTCTTCACGAAGGTTGTTTGGTTCCGAAGAGTAATATTTAACTCGAAAGTGCAAAGCATAAGAAGGTCCAACTGAACATACGGAGATGGAAGGTTGAAGATGTTTTCCCCCAGTTTTGAAGATCAGAGAATGAACAAAAGGAAAAACACGTTAAATCTAGTCATACACTCACCGTTACATCGGGGAGGACGCAATGGGGGCACAGAAAGCTAGTGAATTATTTTCAATCCTCCAGTCTGGAAAACTAAAATGTGCTTTCACGTTGACAGGGACGGCGCAGCTAGTAACTCCTTCTGGAATAAAACCCTAACCATCTAGATGAATTACTAAGAGCTGACATTTTACTTTCACCCAATTGCCAAGATATTCCAAACGGATACTAGCTTCTTACAAAGTATGAAGTGGGCTAAAGGGAAGGGACACATACACATCAAGGGTTCTGTCACCTAAAAATACAGTGAGGACACTGGAAAGTACTACATGTTTTAAAATCACCCGTGCATACACAACCCTGAAGATAAGGGCTCGCCACTCCTGTTAAATCGGAGAGCTGGACCGGACTGTCAGAACGCCAGCCTTCCCCTCCTCTGAGTCCACTTTTATAACTCGTTAGCAAACGAATGTAATAGGCATAAAGTCATGCTTCTGAAGAGCATATTAATCAGTTCTCATTGGCAAGGGTGCCTGATTTCAAAGGAGAGCATAGTCTGTTTTTTAATATCTACCAAAAACCCTTATCCAAATTTTAAACTCTAACATTTGGCCAGCCTTAAGAAATGAGAAATCGTCCACTTAAAACAGAATCTATTTTAAAACGCTCCCAAGTCCTGAGGAAAATACAATACCTCAAAACATTGGCAAAGGAGTTTTACTCTCTGATCAAAGAAATAAGTGAGTATGCTAAATTCTGCTTACTTACTTTTCATCTGCTTTTTTATGGGTTTGGAATGATCCAGCCAGTGCTGAAAGAGAGAAAAGGTTTCTTTAGGAATAGTTCATCAGCTAGACAACAGAGCCCGCATTTACCCTCCTCTATCAACTTCAGTCATTCTACCCATGAAACCAGGGATCAGACCAGATCAGGGTTCTCGGCCTGGGGATCGGCAAGCTGTGTGGGATGGTATTAAAAGAAAAAAGAAAAAAAAATCTATGCTTAGGTACAATATATTTTTTCATGCGAGCGTTAACTTTTCAAAGAGGCGCCTAAAAGAACTTTAAACCTTTTAACTAATTGATCCGTGGAGGCCCTTTCTGGTCAGTGGAGTGTCGATCGGCTTTTCCTTCTAAATTTCTCGAGATATACTCCATTTTCTCCCGGGTCACCATCAGCCTAGGAAAGACTACCGGCCATACTGCTGGGAGCCTCTGGCCACGCATGGGTCTTGAAGCTCTGTCAGTGTAAATGTTAAAATTAGAAAACCCAAATTCATGACCCCTTTATTCTTTTGCCTGGAAAAGGACCCCCAAGGAAGCTGGGAAGACAGGCAGAGATTTATTTGCCGGAGATAATTTTGCTCTGGTCAACGAGGACATTTCAACTTCCCGTCATTTTCATCAGAAAGAACACCTGCGTCCTAGCCACCCCCGCAAGTCATAAAACCATTTCCCTCGTATGCAAATTCCTCTACCATGTCTAAGTGGTTGATAGATACTACACTGTCCTGAGGAGCCTCAGCAGCTTAACTCCCAGGGAAAACAGTACTTAGGACCCTTCCTCTGGGAGCCCCTCCAAGCGATCCCAAGCCCTGGAGGGCAGGGACAGTGCGCTTTTAATCCTTCTTCTCCTGTCGCCTGCCAGGCACAGAGCATGGCACCTGTCAGGCCCCTATTAGATTCTTGAGAAATAAATACAGGCTTGATATATATATATATATATATATATATATATATATTTATTTATTTTATTTATTTATTTATTTTTTTTTTTTAAAGGAGCCAAAGAGGAACTGGCCACGCACTGAAACGTGCCCGTGAGGGTAACGTCTGGAATGATCCAGCCAGAGAGGGTCTCTCCCTGGCTGGGAACCAGAGGCAGGTTAGGGACTGTAGACCGGTCTCAGGAGCAATCTCAGCTCTGCACATTCTAATCACGAGGAAGGGTGGGACTGAATGAGTGAGGCGTACTCTACCCCTCACCACAGAGCCCATTATGACTGTGTGGGAGGAGGGGAACAAGGAAACACAAGAGCAAATAACAGGTGACTTAGAACACAATCAGCTGTGAGTGGTGCGAGGGGAGGACGTGGGCTTCTGCCATCTCCACCCTCCGGCTCAGCGACCACGTGATGAGGGAAGATCGGCGTGGCAGGACGTGGCAAGTGCAGGCTGCTTGCTCTCCTGTTAATAGCTATGAACTGGAAATGACCTAAATGTCTATCAACAGAGGAGGATCCAAAAAAAAATGGCTCGTCCATTTGGTGAAACACTATTCAGTCTTTCAAACGGATGTGGGCCTCTATATCCACGTGGCAAGAGACCCATAGCTCAATACCTGATGAAAAGGAAAAAAAAAAAACCAGGATCCCGTTTATATAAAATTATTATTTTCTATCAAGATATGTCCAGAAGGATTTATAGATATGGATGTGGGGCTGTGGGGGCTGTTTACTCTTTTTCTTTTTTACTTTTCTGCATAATTTTTTACTTTTAATGAGAATACAATCTTCAAGGTGTGAGCCAGACTGTCACTCTCGTTGTTCATTCCGCGGTTTGCTTAGCAGGCAGGTTTTGAAGATCAGTTCGCCCCGTCAGAATGCCGTGTCACTGCTGCCCTCAACCAAGCAGAAAACCTCGGACCTTAGCCTCTGGGAGGAGGACAGATACAGACCTGATAAATGTCTATTTACTTTCCTGCCAAAGTGTCACACCAATGGCGATGACTAAACTCCTTCCCCTCACTTTGAAATGAATGTACTATTACCATGCAAAGAAAGTTCTCCCCACAACCAGCCTTCTGATCTCATTAGACCCAGAGGCTCAGAGCTTCAAGGGGTTTGTCCCATTTCTTCCCTTTGAGTCCCCTTCTATCTGGAATAGAACCCATTAAGCCCCCTGTTTTCCTCCCTCCGCGGTCAAACTATGATCTCGATCCAAGTCGGACCTGTGTTGGTCCCGTGGCGATGGATTTCAACCCTGGTTGTGCATTGCAGTCACGACTACCCAAGTCCCACCCAAGATCCATTAAACAGAGTCTCAAAGCATTACTGTTTTTTAAAGGCTCCCCGTGTGCCCATTAAATATTTAGTGCTGAAGCCTTCCCACATCCTCCTCTGACCCAGGAATATAGCCTACCGATCTTGGGGATCTTGACACATCCACAACCTCTTCTGAAAAGCGTTGTCTATGCTTTGTGAAATCTCAAGCCATTTCGGGGTTTGTTGGCCAGAGGTCTATAGTTGGTGTTAATTGACAGTTCATGGCTAGTGCTCCTACTGGACAGCAGCCTGCTTCTTCCTCTGGCCATGGTGGGTAAGGAGCTCCCTGATCCATGTAGGGGGGCTGGCCTCCATCCTTCCTGCCCGGCCACGGGGCCCTGCCCGAAGCAGGACATACCAGGATGGAGGCCCGTGAAAAGTCTTCGGCCCACTGAACTGGGAAAATCATCAGAAACAGTTTTATTTTAAAAGCTCCTTGGCCCTATTGGGAGGATTCAGATCAGGTTTGCTTGCCTGCATCAGAAGCGATAAGAAATCCAACCATAATCCTAGAACAAGAGATGATAAAACCTATCTTGTATCCAACCCAGTTCAAAATGACCTGACTTTCTTCTTAGCTACAGGAGCTGACCAGACTCTGATTACTTGTGTTTTATCCCACAAGACCACCTCATGATGAATACCCGGGCACTACGGCCCAACGTGGCCTTTGGTAAATCATATCCTAGCCAAGGCTCAGAAGCCTGCATTCAGCAGCAGTGGGACCGGTCTCAGATGTTCAGCTAAATAGAGCCACACTGCCTGTCGGCAAAGGCCAAGGCAAATGGCTCCAAACCTCTTAAGAGACCATTAAACCAGTCACTGGGGATAGACGAGGGCATTTCTAAGTTCGTAGAGTATGACATTTAACTCAAACCCTGTAACAGGTGTTAGAAAGGTGGTTTCTGATCTGAACATCTCATCCAAGTCAATCTGGCAAAAGCCTTTCCATAAATCAAGATGGGAGACGATCTGGCAAAGCTCATCTGTCCTGACAGTACATCAGTTCTGGAACCATGACGTGGAGAAGGCTGGCTGTAGAACTGAGCTGTCCGAAATCTGCACAGAAGCCCTTGAACTGTGACGGCCAGGAGAAGCTCAGGGGGCGGAAAGGGTCTAAAACCCGCTGAACACCCCCCGAGCCCTCGCCATCACGAGTGAGTGCCGCAGCTCATTGCCGCTGCCCAGGGCCTGTAGAGTTTCTTCGCTTACAGAGGGTGTCTAGTTCGCGTTTAAATCGGAGCTGGAAGGAATGTGGAGAGATAATCACATCCAAGGGATGAAAAGAGAAAGAAGGGAAAGGACACTTTTGGCGCTTACTGTGTGTGATGGAATTTATAATAAGAAATATATATTTGGTCTTAGTTTCTGGCACAGAGCTCTTAAAACCCTTGGAATTTTCTACACTGTAAGAGCAATAAAGGTGTCCTGACAGTCATAACAAATCCCTTTCAACCCCACCTGAGTTTATGTCAATTGAGGCGACTTTCAGAAAGCACCTAAGGATGGGGGATCGTAGCCAGGGGAACTAACCTGTGACTAAGCTTACTTCTGACCCCTGGGGACCGGGAGGAGGAAGAGTGGGGGCCGGGAGCTTGAATCACTCACCAATGCCAATGATTTAATCAATCCCACCCTTGTAGCAAAGCCTCCGCAAAAACTTAAAAGGCAATGTGGTGAGCTTCCGGTCTGGTGAACACACAGAGATCTAGAGAGAGTGCCTTCCCCACCTACGGAGGGATCGCTCCTTCTCATCCACAGGAAGCCCCATAACCTCACGTCTACCAGCTATGTGAGATTTCCTTAGGGATTCATCTAAATCAACTTTAGAGAGCCCTCTATCAATAGCTTTCCAGCTAGCATCAATATTTGCACGTGGGCAGGAAAACCCTCGCTCTGCCAGCCTTCAGACTCAGGCTGCTGGGAGGCCGGTGGCATTTCTTGAGCTGTTTCCCACTCCTTTGGACTAAAATAGAAGGAGGCAGAAGATGAGAGTTCGAGTCCCAGCTCTGCCACCCACCTGGTGTGTGGCCATGGGCAGGCCCCCTGGGACTGTTTCCTCAGCTGGGCACTGAGTTGTGCTCGAACACGCCGTCTGAAGAATCAGCTCAGTGGCCATGGAAACTGTGCTGAACCACCGAAATGGAAGGCTTGCCTGTCCCTCACAGCAACAGCATCCCGACAACACCTCCCTCTAGGCGCACCTGAGACAGTTGGAAGGCTCAGCAGTGTCCGCATAAGGGGCACGCGCGATGGCATTCCAAGCGATCGTCAGAGCAAAGCTGCAAACATCCCTTCAGTGCCCACTGACCCTCTCAGCAGCCACCAAATCCGTGTCAACCTCACCTCGCAGCCCTGGACCTCTTATTACCCATCCACCCAATTCTAGGCTGCAAAAACCAGAGGAAAAACATCCCACGAGTCGAGACAAAGGTCCAAATCACCTGTTCTGGGTCCCTTGCTGCAAAGCGTACCACCATAAAATGCTCCTTTTTCATGCTGGGAGGGGCTCTGGAAGGGGCTTACAATGGCCACACTGGCCCTCTAGAGTGCTCTGCCTGCATGACCCGGAAGGAGGCTCCTGCTTGGTGGGGCTATTGTTACCGGTGCCCCAAATCCCTGTACCCCCTTCCCTCTGACGCCTCGCTCAGCTCATCACTGATACTCAGGCGGTCCTCCTCCGGGCTCCCAGAGTGAAGACACACACCCCTGTATTCCACTGGGGTGGTGCATCTCCCCCACCAGAATGCGGCAGGCCCAAACAGGGTCCTGATTACTTCTGTGCCACAGAGATGGACAGTGAAGAAGCTCCAAGGCAAAGTCTGCTGAATGGCCACTGCCTAACCATGTCCTTCGTGCAGGCGCACACACATGGATGTGTGTGGCTGAGATGCTACCATGTGTAATGAAACCAGTAGAGCCCACTGGAAAGGGCTGGCCTTTGGAATGAAACCAGGTTTTGCATCCTGCCTCCGTCCCTCACTTTGACCGTTACAAGGTTCCTAGTGAGCCTCAGCTTCGTCGTCTATAAAATGGGTCTGCTCTACAGATAGTTTTCCAGATGATGAAGTTTAAAGAATTATTTGCAATGCCTTTAGGTTGATGCCTGGCTCAGAGCTCACCAGAGTGGGAACTCAGGAAATAGCCGCTATCTGATCAGTCTGTAAGAAGCTGGGTGGGTGGAGGCCAGAGCCTCCTCTCGCAGAAGAAAGCTCTCCTCTATAAAAATAGAGCCCTTACCCCTGCTTTGAGCTAAGCAAAGGTGAGATCTACAGAATAGGCTGCTGCCTGCCTTAATACGGAAAAGGGAAACAGGAGGCCCCAGCCTCAACTGCTAAAAATAGGCAATGCCAATAGACTTTGACCTTGCTTCAGGGCTGGGCAGCACACTATGGTAACCAGGCTTGGCTCCTTGCAGGGAGCTGGGGACAGACGCTGGGTATGCAGAGAGCTGTGCCAAATCCCACTACTGCCAACCCTCTGGGATCTGCATGCAGGGGTGGGGTGGGGATGCCATTTCTCACAGGAGCCCCTCAAGGCCATAAGCCAAATGGCCAAGCGGACTGTTCCTGCCTGGCCCCCATCTATTACACCTGCCATCAATTGCTTCGTTTGTCCCAGGCGCCCACAAAATAAATGACTTGGGAACAGTCCCAGAGGGATCACCTAAATCACTAATGTTTCTCCCACAGGCAAGGTGGCCTTGCAGGTTCCAGCTAGCCTAAGTGCGTCACCTCCGGTGGTGACTTCCGGTCCTCCTTCAGCTGGCCTAGTTAGAACAGAGACCCACAGCTATGTTAGATTTCAAAAGCCTTCCTCCTAACTCATGAGCCCCTCAACGTCCCTGCGACACACACGTTACTGCCTCTACTTTACAGTTAGGAAAAGAGGCTCGCAAATCTAGTGTACTGAGAAGAACAGTTAGCCATGAGGTCGTAAAACCTGGGTCTGAGTCTGAGCTGTGCTACTCACCGAGGGCCCTGCCGGAGTCTGAGGCTTTCATTTCACCATCAAGAAGACAGAAACAATCGACAAATGGCTGCTAAGGTCCCTTCTGGGGCTGAAGACTGAGTTGTGGGTGGTATGTCTGGTCAGCAAGAGTCACCAGGAAGAAACAGTCTTAAGTGTCAGGATGGAAGCAGAAAGGTTTGTTTATATACACAGATAATGAGCCCCAGGCCAGAGGAGCCAACTGCTACAGAAGGCAAAACAGCTCAAAGGTTTCCAGAGAGCAGGAGAAGCCCGGGACATCCGGACATGCTGCATGAACGAAGAGCTGTCGTTTTAGACGGTCTTGAAGGACAGCCAGAAGGTTACACGGGGTGAGAAAGGGCATGCTAGGAGGGGAACCCACGAGCACAGGGATACAGATGAGCGCAGGCCTCGCCAAAACCCAGCCTGTCAGGAGCCCAGCCTAGAAGTCAGACTAATGAGAAGGGATCTACTGCACATCCTTGGACCCTCAAAGTCAGGGAGATGAGGACCCTGCACTTGCTTTGTGGGGGAAGAAAAGCACATCGCGCTCAGAGCTGGAAGCTGGAAAGACATGAGAGCCTGTAGAGTCTGAGCGTCTGCAGGTGTCTGGCCTTGGAAGGACGCCTGGATCCTGCCGAGCCTGTGCCAGGGCGCTGGCCGACGGGAACGCCTGGCAGCCCAGTGAGCAGAGGCACATGGCTGGGTCTTTCGTAATAGAGTCCCATCCTTGGCTTTCTGGGAATCCGAGTGGCTGAAGAGAGGCCACCTAGGGATGAGGACACGGCACCAGGACAGCAGGCACATGGCTCTAATGGCAGAAACAAGGACATGAAAAGCCATGTGGGACAGACACGCCTGCCTCCCCTTCAGAACACTAGAACTGGAGGAGCTCTCAGGAACAGGTCCGGGAACCCCATTTTACAGATGAAAAAAACTGAGGACAAGGGAGAAAATGTAGCTCATCGAAAACCCCCAGTTGAGTCATGGGGAGAGCCAGGAACAAGGTCTAGGTCAGACTCAGTCCAAACTTCCGAAGCCCAAAATACCACGTGCATGAAGACACACAGAAGGCAGAACACAAAAGCATTTCCGGGAAGTAGAGGGCTGACGGGTGTCAGATGATGCGAGAGCTGGAGGGTACTGGAGACAGAGAGGAGCACTCGAAGTGTGGCACTCGGGAAGCAACTGGAAATGGAACTGTGATGCCGGTCTAGGGGGCAACTGCTAGAGGAACACGCGCGTTTCCGTAAAACCACACGGTAAAAAGGAGAGGCAGGGAAAAGAGAAACTTTGAGGTGCAGGGTAAGAAAACTCAGAGGGTTTTAGCTAAATGACTTCAGTCTTCTCAGCAAGAGGCGAGCCCAAGTGCACAAACAGAGTCGTTGCAGGAACTGGACTGCAGGGCTGTGGTCAGGATTCCAAAGGGGAACCAGGGGAACCGAGTCCAGGAGGGGCTAACAAGGCTCCAAGGGTAGCTCAGAGGCTTTGACTTTGCTGCATCTGTGATCTGTGACCTGTGCCAGAAGGCACAGCCCGTGACTCTCCAGCAATGCCTGCCAGCCTGGGAGAGGCAGCAGAGGAGACAGATGGGCCTGTGCGTTGAGAGGAGACTACGGGACAGTGACGGGGGCAGGAGCATCAAAAGGCAAGTGAATCCTCAGGAGGCGAGACGGCTAAGGCTCCACCAGGTCGAGAGAGGGGAGAAGGAGGCAGGAGGTGATCGTTAAGGTCCAAGGCCAGGTGCAGAGGAACTGGAAAGATGGAACCAAGGGAAGCTATCATGGAACAGATATAGAATTCCAGCTCTTGGAGCGATCGGGTGGTGATAGGACCCAAGTGAATGTGGGCGAGGTTTGCCCAAGTGATGTTTCAGTGTGAGGAAACACTGTCCAGGATATTTAGAAGGATGGGCACCTTGAATTCCCAGGTTGCCCAGTGAAAAAGAAAGGCTGAGACCACCTGTGAGGTCAGAAGGCAGGGCACCCAGTGGCCCAACCTGGAAGAGAGCAGAACTGGGCAGGGGGCAGAAAGAGGAAGGCTGGTGTGCCCCTGACCAGGGTCCCACTGGGCGGAGAAGAGTCTCCAGTTGGGACATGGAGAAGGAATCCGGACCACTAACTCAAGATGGCAGCTGGAATGCTTGAGGCAACAGTCAGGGAGGTAAGGGGATGGGCTGTCAGCAGACAAGAAGTCCTGAGGGGCGTCTGGTGGGAACAGAGAGGGCATCTGCCCAGAAGGTGTGCAGCGGGAGGATGAACAAAGTCCGGCCTCCGTGGCATCATCTCGGGACTCCGCATCACACAGGTGTTCTCAGGTGGACCCAACTTCTAGACAGCAATTTTGAGAATCTTAGCCTTAACTGTCCCATATGACCCACCAGGGAGTATCTGAGGAAGTGTCTTTAGGGAGAAAGGCTTAGCCACAGATGCTCAGACATCTCCTACCAGGGAACCCACCCTTTCATACAGTCTAAAACAGCACCGCCCCTTACTCAGTGTGTCTCTCCCCTTACTCTGCTTTATTCTTCTGAATACTTACCGCCATCTGTCATATATACGCTCACTGCTTTATCTACGGTACTTAAAATAGGGCTCAGTGCATAACTGATACTCAGTAAGTTTTCTTATTAACGTATAATGTATTATTTGTTTCCGGGGTACAGGTCTGTGATTCATCAGTCTCACACAATTCACAGCACTCACCATAGCACACACCCTCCCCAATGTCCATCACCCAGCCACCCCATCCCTCCCCCCACTCCCCTCCAGCAACCCCCAGTTTGTTTCCTGAGATTAAGAATCTCTTATGGTTTTTCTCCCTTCCGATCCCACCTTGTTTCATTTTTCCCTCCCTACCCCCCGACAACCTCCTGCCCTGCCTCTCAAATACTCCTCGTAATATAAATATTTTTTTTTACTCAATTAACATACAGCGTGGTAATAGTTTCGGGCAGACAATATAATGATTCAACAGTTCTATTACGTTTCTCAGTGCTAACCAAGATACATACAGTCTTAATCCCCTTTATTTTACCCATCCCCCCACCCACCTCAAAAAACACGTTTCGATTGTGGAATAAATTGCCTTTGAAACCCAATGTTAGATTTCATGGGGGCAGGAGACTCTGAAGTCATTCATGCTTTTGAAAAGAGCAGAGCTAAGCCCCATCAGGTTCACTCCCTTTGGCACCCCCGCCGTGGACGGTTCTGTCTCAGGCAAAGCAAGGGAAGTCCTTCTGACCTAACACAACCTCCGGGAGCCTGCAAGCTTGTTCTCAGGCAGTGCCAAGACCTGCTCCGAGCGGGCGCCTGCACCCACCACGCCCGGCTGGGATCACATTCAGTGTGTCCACGGCACCTGCACCCTCCCCCCCGGCAAGAGGCCGCAGATGACGCTGCCATCTCTGTGCTGGTTAAAAATAAAACATCACAACAGGAATGCTTCTTTCTCTCTTCCTCTCCTGGTTATTGGCCATCCCAAGGCGGGGCACGTGGAGGAGCGGCACGGGGTGCCATCACCGCCACCCCAATGCTCGCTATGGCAGCGACGTCACGGTTTAACTCCTATGTTTCCCTCTACCAGTCTCCAGCAACTTTGGATCTGCAATTAGCACAGAAAGTCAACCTGTCCCGAGATGGACCAAAGGAGTACTTACAGTAACCTGCGAAGAGTCGAGGAACTGGAGGCCGAAGTAATCTGTTTCCACGAGGTCCAAGTGGTACACAATCTGATCGAACAGATCCTGGCCTTTGGCATGTTTCTGGAAGACAATCGGGTAGATGAAAATTGAGGATGTGACTGATGGATAAGAACAAAGCGTTTTAAAAAGAAACAAACCCCCCAAACCACTTTTGTCTCTACACTGCATACATGTGTACGTCCCAGTATACACATTTTTTTAAAAATTTAATTATTTTGGGGGGCACCCGGGTGGCTCAGTCAGTGAAGCATCCACCTTCAGCTCAGGTCACAATCCCAGAGTCCTGGGTTCGAGGTCCTGCATCGGGCTCCCTGCTCAGCGGGAGAGTCTGTTTCTCCCTCTGCTCCTGCTTGTTCTCTCTCTCTCTCTCTCTCTCACTTTCTGGCTGACTCTAATAAATAAAATCTTTTAAGGAAATTTAATTATTTTTATTATAATAAAGACTCATCATTAAATCTAATCACTCATAATGAAAACAAAACAAAACACCAAAAAACAACTTCACAGGATGAATAGCGAACCAACATCTTATGATTAAAAACTTGTAAACAGAGGGAAGAGATGAGGCCCTGATCTCTGGCCGTTAGCTGCAGCACTGGGTCATCAAAGAGCAAATGATGGGACTTTCAAACATCAAATCCAAACGGATCAAAGACCTAAACCCAAGAGCTAAAACTATAAAATTCTCAAAACAGAGGCACACATCTTCATGACCTTGGATTAAGCAATGACTTCTTAGATACAACATCACAAGCACAAGCAACAAAAAACCCCAACAAAACCAGAGGTCCTTGGCTGGCCAAGTCACCAGAGCGTTCGACTTTTGATCTCGGGGTCATGAATCCGAGCCCCACACTGGGTGTGGGACAGAGACACACACCTCTATGAATATACTAAAAGCCACCGAATTATACACCCCAGATAGGTGAGTTATATGGTATGCCCACCTCAATAAAGGTATTAAAAATAGCAGATAGGCAGAACTTCTCTTTACAGTAGTACGCCAACAACGAAATGAGGAAGGAATAACAGAACTAAAATATCACAGTTTTGTGACTTCTAAGGAACAGTAGGTGCTAAGCCTCAGCAGCTACTGACATCAAAACAAAAGACAATTAGCCATTGAGTACCCCCGATGAAGAATATCCTCCCCTCCCCAGATGCAACCTTACTCCTCACCTTTCTCTCTCTGCAGGCAAACAACAACAACAACAACAAACCAAGCCTGGGCTAATTCAACCACTAGATCCAACAGCCAACTGCAGGAAATGCAGAGGAATGTTGTGAACCAGCAAGATCCAACCTGTGGGAAATTCTAGAAACTCCTCGGGACAAACCACACAGCTTCTTCAACCAACAGCAGAGATGGAGGGAAAGGGATGGAGGGGCACCTAGAGGTTAAAAAAGATTTAAAAGACACCTTTAAAAAAATGCAAAATGAAACTGCAATGTGTAGGGACGCACACTTGGGTGGTAAGACTTGAAGACAGAATTAAAAGAAGTGGTTACAATAGAGTCAGGGGAGTTGTTGCTTTCGGGGGCCCAGAGGGGATGTGCTGGGGAAAAAGCCCACAGCAGACTTCCCGTTGGCTGGCAGGGTCCCAGCTCCTGACGTGGGTGGTGGTACAGGGTGTCTGCCTTCCCGGTAGCTTGTGAAACTGTACCTTTGTTTTATTTGTACATCTGCATTTCTGCATTTCTGTTATATAAAACAGCACTCAAAAAAAGCAAAAAACAAACAAACAAACAAACAAACAAACAAAAACCCAAACCAACCCAACTCAAAATTATAGCACTGGATTACAACTTTCAGACTCCTTCCTTCCTGGAAACACTCCTTAAAGGAAACAATTCAACAGGAGCAGAAGGATCCGCGCCCAGGGATGTTCTCTGTACCATTATCTACTGGAGCAGGAAGGGTAGGGGTGGGGCAGGAAGAAGAAACAACCCAAACTCCAACCACAAGGACACAGAGCTGGGCCCATCAACACTTGGGAATACTGCTGGGCTGTTAGGATAATTATAAAGATGAGACAGGAATCAGGAAAACTCTTATGTCGATATTAAGTAAACAGGCCACAAAGGAACAAGAAGTTCTGTGTGATTCCAACTACGTAAAAATCTGCCTGTGCTATAGGGACGGCTTGATAAAAATGGCCTGCAAAACGTCAAAGAGCTATGTTGGGATGGGGAAACTATGGATGATTTTCTTCCCAAATGTTCTTTAACAATGATCTTTTGGTAGTTCTTAGACAACAAACAACATAAAAAAAAAAAAAAATCACTCTTCCTCCAGATGTATTCTCTCCTTATTATCCGGTACTACTGGTTTACCCAACACCTATTACCACGGCACCAGTGCCTCATTAGTGGGTTTCCTAGTGGGACAGAACGAGTCAGCATCCAGCTTTAGCAGCAGGATGTGGCAGACAGAACTGGGCTGGCAGGAAGCAAGAGATCTATGCTCTAGTCCCAGATGCATTAACTGTGACCTTAAGCGATTCACAATTTCCCCAAATCCATATGCCCATCCTGGACTTCTCTCTCAGCGACAAATCAGGCATGGCGCCCTGAATGGACAGGGTCGCTCGAACTCAGCTGACCCCAAATCCCGCCCACCCCCATCTGGGTCTCCCTATTTTGGTTCTGGGCTTACCATCCAGGTACGTCATTCTAACGTTCACAGAGGAGGAACTGAAAGCACACAGTTCCACACATGGGAAACAAGGGCAGCTGGCCCAAGCTTCTCTCTAGGTCATTCCAAATCTTAGGTTTCTGATGTCTTTCTAAAATGGCTCTTATCTAGAAGGAGCTCAAGGGGGAGGTCGAGGAAAGCACCCTTCCAGAGTCCACTGGTCCTGCTGCCATGCCAGCCTGGCTGCAGTCCCGGCAGATCCTGGCTCAGCTGGACCCGGAGGTGCCAGACACAGCAGGGCCTGGTGGACGGGAAACACCCTGTTTACTAACTCACCTCTAAACACCTTTCCCAACTCACCTCCCCCCGCCCCTTACGCTCTTTGGTCTCCTCTGGAAGAGAGAATTCCCAGTGGCCCTTTCCAGCTCTAAAAAGAATCTGGTGAGATTATGAAGGCTGGGAAAGAGGGGGCCTCAAAACAGAGGTCCCAGGGAGTGAAAGGACAGACAAAGCCAGGAGGGTCCAGGCCACACCCCCTGAACCCACTGCCACCTCTCGCTCCTCCCAGCCAACAGAGTGTCCACTCAAAAACCGAGAAGGTTCCAGGTAACTCCCCTGTCCTGCCAGCCCGGACACGCCACCTGGGGCAGCCCCCAGAAGCCCCCAGACTGTCATCTCAGGCTTCGCCCAAACAGCTCCTCCTTCACTACCCCACCCTTCCCCGTACCCAGGATGGTAAGTGCCCCTCCTGTGTTCCCATAAGCAAGCACGTGTCCCTATTACACACACACTTATCACCCTACACCGCGGTTGCCTTTGTTCCTGTCTTACTCCGACCTGAGGCTGAGGGCAGGGACCGTGTTCATCTCCCCTTCCCTCCATCCTCAAAGCACATCCCCGGCCAGCACACAGCAGATGCCCCATAGACGTGTTTGCTGCCTGGCTGGCGCGCCAGCTCTGCTGGTTGGGGGGCGGGGGGGATGGGGTCTGGCACCGAGAACACATCTTCTGGATGGACCACGCTAAAGTGCGGACAGCAGACGGATACTTCACCAGCGGCAGGCCTAAATGAGGATGCACTCGTTAAAACCTTTTCATATTAAGTCTTCCAGGAACAAGTGCCTAGGGAACCGTGCTGCACTTCCAAAGCCATTTACCTAAACACGATTTTGTGGCTGTTACGTGAAGTGCTGTCTAGTGGTTACAGTGAGAGATCCATTAACGTGACAAGACTGGAGGCCGCTCCTTGTTGCCTCCCTGCCTTGATGTCTCCTCAGCTGTGATGAATCCACTCATTCATTCAACAGATACTGGCTTCATGGAGTGCCAGCCACTATTCCGGGGCTTGGGGTACACTGGGGTCACCGAGTCTGGAAGACCGAAGAGCTACGGGAAGCCCTCAGCAAATAAGTCATCCTTGGGGAGCAACGGCCCCCAAAATGGCATGACCCCTGAACCACAGTAGCAAGACCACTCATCCCCCTGCCTTCTGAAGCTGACTGTACTGAGCGTAAAACCTTAACTCAGTCTGGATCACTCCTCTGGAATTCAGCGACGCTTCTACCTCAAGACGCATACGGCAGGCTGTCCCCGAACACGGCAGGGCAGAAGCTCTCCCCTTGAGTTCTGGCTTCCCTCCTCCCGCCTCAACACATCACTTCGCCCAAGGACCCGCAACAGTGGTTCTGAGTCAGTATGTCTCTCTGAGCAGCAACTTCGGATCAGAAAGGAGCTTTAAAAAAAAAAAAAAAAAATCATCAAGTTCATTAACACCCTGTGCAAATCTAGAGTACAAAGGTACCAGCTGAAGGCCGGGCAGGGCAGGCAGCCGGCAGGGAACGGTACGGACACCGGGCTCTCTCTACCAGCCGGTCAGGGCTTCCCGGGCCGTGTATTTACGGGTTCCCGGCCATCCTCCTGGTAAGGAGGACTCCTGGACAGCTGATGTCTTAACTGTCTCCCCCAGTAAAGGAACCATCCTGACCCTCTTAGATAAGAGGCAACTAGCAGTGTCTCACCGCAGACTGACCCGTGTGCAGTGTGACAGGTCAACTGTGGTCCTGAACAAGGACAGAAGCCAATGCATCTGAACCCCACGCCGGGCATCCCCAGGTCAAAAAGGAGGAAAGAAGCTGTGGGCTGGGTGACTGGATATGCTCTGGCTGGGAACTAACATGGACAAACAGGACATCCGGGCAGTGCAAGGGTTTTAGGAGCCATGTCCTTGCAGGCACACGAGGCTCTCTGTCCATCTGCTCCACCTCCGCCAGACGGCAAGGCCCTCTGCACCCACCCTCAGAAAGGCTCTCTCTCCCCTTCCCCCCACCACGGCTCAGTGACATCTCCTTGTACCTGCACCACAGCGAGCGCCCCTGCTAAAACCCATCTTCCCCGTTCACCAGAATGGAGTTCACACAACACAGCC